TTTCAAAAATAATTGAAACAGAGGCTATCGGGCATCCCGGTGGATTTCCGCGCAAAGCAGCCTAACATACATCTCCATCAGAAGCAAGGCAAGTCCCTGGCTTCATGCCAAGTTTTTATTTATTTTCTTAGTTAATTTGCAATTAATTCAGGAATGGTACATTATTCGGACTGTAATATTTGGACTGTAATATCTTTATTCGGGACTGTATATTTATTCGGACCCTCGCGCGAGGGCACAACTGTAATACGTGTGCGTGTGTGTGTTGTAGTCTTTCCAACCACGTCTTTCTCCTTTTATTTATCCGCTTATGATGGTTAGATTTAGGGCATATTTAAATTAGCATACAGTATGACAGCTGTTTGCATTCATTCATCCTGTTTTCATGCACCGGGCTCGGCGCATCATACTAACTGCATTGAGTACTTTCAAATTTTCAAAGTGAATACATGATAGTTGTAGAATTCCATATGCATTGTTTAGAATAGCCGAGCCTGCTATAGTTGCATTTTTGCATGTGTTTGCTTAGATTCTGTTACTTTGGATTCAGCATGATTTCTAACGTAGTTTCTATTTTGCTTGAGTACCCGGTAAGTTTTTATGCTTTAGCATCTTGCATGCGTGTGAGTGACTGCCATGAATAGCATGCTTTACCATGAGGCTATGTGCTTAACATGATATATCTTGCCCTTGAATGCCTGTGGGTGAAGGTTGGGTTACTTAAATTGGATAAAATCAATCAAAATGCTTTTAAAGCCTACCTGCGAGTAGCAAACCCTCTTCAAAAACAAACATGAAATGTTTCCGTTCCAATTCAGGCGACCCCGGTCTATACTTGTATGCTGTGCGCATCACATAGTAACCTAGCGCTAATAACCGGAAAAGCAACACAAAGTTTTCAAAAAATTGGATATCAATGGTTAGTAGAGGCCGGTCTATGACCGGCGAGCGGGCGAGTGCTCAGAAGCGACCTTCCCCAATACGTACCCGAAGTTCCCGAGCGAGGCAACTTTGGCGATAACGGACACGTGGCCTTTTGGCACCGAGTCAGGGTTTCCCTAAATTTTCCCAAAATAAAAATATTTAGGTGGCGACTCTGTATCTGGCAAAAAGCGTCCCATGTTTGCACTTCTTTCAAAAAATCTGTTTCTTAAAAACAATTTGCCGATTTGGACTCTTTGGTTCAGACTTAGAACCGTGACTACAAAGTCGAGTCCGAGCTGTAGCGAGGTCCCCGCAGGCTTGTTACAGTTCTGGCGACCCGCTGGGGATTTAGAGAACTTGACTCGAATCATATATCTGTTTCTGACTTAACGCTTGTGTGTTTCTTTTGCATTGCATTTGCATTGGTGCGCTAGGACACCGTGTTTTGCCATCTGCTTATTCCTGAACGGTTTGCTGGAAGCTGTTCTTTGTCAAGGCATGACCATAAGGCTGACCGGTTGTGGGCTTTGCCAGTACTGGGAACACAAACCCCCGCGTTTTACCGGGGCACCCTCTTTGACTTTGACCTAGTGCATATTCGGATCCATAGTGGACCATTTCCAAATTAGACAGGTGCCTACCGTTTATAGGTTTGTTTAAAAATCGCTGTGTGCGTAGTGAAAACCCTAGCTCCTGACAAAATAGACAGGGAAACCCTACCGCCAACATAGGGGTGTTTTGGCTCTCCACTTATCTGTTATGTGCTTTAGAGTGTGTCTCTACGGAATGCACGTTATCAGTATATGAGTTTGGGCATCAGGGCCTGCGGGCATCAGTTTCACTCATTGTCTGTATCAGGCCCTGCAAGGCATTAGTTCAGTATTGTCAGTATCAGGGCCTACGGGCATAGTTCAGTACATAAGTTTGGGTTTATCAGCCTGCGGGCATCGCTAGTATTGAGAATCAGCTATTGCGGGTATCAGATTCTGTTTTTGGGGACAAAAGTGATACAGAGATAATGATCAGCTGTTTTTGAGGACAGTGTGTATTCAGCTTATTTGACTTGTGTGTTTTATTTGGGGCCCCGGGGCTTTGTTTTGGTGTCAGTGCATTTTATTTTAAGCTGTTAATGCTGTCCGTTTATTTGTTTATTTATTCCTTTTTCGCTTATTTATCTTTTGCTAGGTCAGTTCTTTTTGTAGTGACACAATTGCTTCCAACCCAGCAGGCATCCCCAGCACTTGGACACGAGGTCGTCGACTCAATCGATTCTTTTTTCGAGGATCGTAATCGACGGACAGCCGGCGAGGTTTTTTGGTTTCATTCTCTACCCCCTGTTACCAAGAAGAAAGCAGAAAAAGCGCAGTGTATCTGAACAGAAGATCACCAGAAAGTGCGTTTCCCCCATCAGTGGACAGTCGGATGAGAATTCCCCATTGAGACAGATCTGCCAAGTAGTTAGACAAATAAAACAGTATTGACGCAACCAATAGGAGTTGAGGAGATTGATGCGCCAAAATGCAAGAACCATGCGGGCCATGCAACAGGATGCCGTTCGCCGGGATGAACTCCTGCTAAGCACAAGCTAAGATTATGACCCAGCAGGCTGAGCTGATTATCCAGGCTGCAACAACAGAAAACAGGCATTCCGCTTTCACATTCAAGTCCCTCCTCCGGCAGGGGCTCCCATTACCTGAGCAGGCCCTCTGTTTCAGAACGCCCTACCACCAATGCCCAGAATACACCCTGCCTGAATATCCAAAACTTCAAGAGGGACCGAATCTTCCACGGGGCAGCTCCGCCCCCGTTCCACCACAATGTTCTAAGCGTCCATGTACCCCATCGCCCCGACTCTCCCTTCTAGTCCGAGGTGATCATACAGCTCTGAAATTGAGCAACTGGAGAAGCTCTTTAAGAAATCCAAGGGGTCAAGGTATGCGGTATCGACAGACGGATATACCGAGGAGCCCTAACACTCCCACGATAGGTTCACAATGGCCACAAATCGACCGTTTGACGGGTCGGCGACCCCATGGTCCATCTCGACTGTTCGCAGACAATCTTGCGGCCAATGGGCCTAACACGACCACAGAAGCTTTCACTATTCGCGAACCGAACCCTGTCGGGTGTTGGCCGCCCATATGGTACGCAAAGTACACAGATGAAGTGAAAAGGGAATTGGGATGAAATGCTGAGGCCTTTGTCACGCAATAGTTCATCATAAAACTCAGAATCGAGATCACAACCCGTGATCTTGAAAACGACAAGGCACAGAGCCCAAAGGAAACTTTCTCGGACTTTGTAATCCGATGGAGGGCAAGCGTCAATGATGACTTTAAGGCCCACTGACAAGATCAAAATCCGGATGATTGTGCGCAATCTCCACCCAAAGTGATGCAGAGAATGATTTGTAAGTTCCCCTTCCCTACTGTTCGCAGATTTACATAGATGGGGGTGCCAAATCGTAAGATGTAATGAAACAAGTCTGTTTTGACCACGACAGAGAACAACCGAGGAGGAACTTTCAACCGCATATCACACAATCGCGGCCCGAGTTGGACTGCAAATACCGAGAGCCTCGGAAGTTAGTATGTGTCACCACCACTCCCCCTCCCCCTCCAAGGCCCATGGCTGCAACACCCTCTCCCGGCGGCGTCCGGAAGCAACACACAAGACCAACAGATTTCCAACCGGCGAGGCCAAAGAACCTTTACCCCACTATATATGCCCCTGACCAAAGTTCTGGGAATATTGATCAGAAAAAATCATTTAAACCCCTGAGCCAAAGCCATTACCGAAATCACTCCCCTCCTCTTATGCACCCAGCCAAAATACTGTGCGTATCACCAACAACACGGTTCACGACAACGGACCGTTGTTACAGATTTGGCGTCATATGAGTTCCAGGATCTTATGGATGACAACAGGTTTGATCGCGCTCCTGATAAACCCAATGTTCACAAACCAACCTCTCGCCACCACATAACCAACCTCCCCCTCCCAACCAGAATTAATTTTTCCAGAACTTGGGGTCGCATCTTTACGAATCCTAAGCATCTACTATTACGCCACTGCCACGCTACCCAAGCCGGAGTGCTCCTCCCCGCGCACTGATTTCTTGTGCATGGTGGACATCTCCAAACACCAACCAGACCGATGGTGGTGAACCGTCGAAGACAGGCGGGCAGATTTAGGAGAGAATGAGATTGTTGAATTAACTGGGACTGGGACAGAGTTTAGCTGGGGGAGCCTATGACGTCCCAAGCAAGTACATCCTATTCAACGAGCCGAATTGGGCTAGTAATTATGATATTGCCGAGCAGAGAGCTATGCATGATCCGGGGGGATGGATCTGGGCTATGGGCAGATGATTCTGAAACAGCCGTAGAGGAGGCTTTGCCAACCTGCAATTTTTCGATGACCAGGAACTGGGGGGTGCGTCAATCAACTGGTATGATGTATGAGGGATTCAGCGGAGGCCACTGGATGGCTCCGAGGATATCAACCAATGAGTGGGGGAAGCCCCAACCAGAACAAGAGCCCCGCAGGGGCGGAAGTATCTCCATTGTTGCCGGAACGGCCGAAAGTCCCATAGTTGTTATCGTCCGGGAGAGCCAGTGCTAAGAATTCCCGCCTCGAGACAATAGGGCATTAATGGAACTACGGGAGATTGTTGCACAAAACGCGTACTGATGCCAGCTGGAAACGAGATAAAGTTTTGAGGAGCTGAGAGAAATTAGGAAGAGCTAAATAGCCCTGAGGGGACTGAAAGTGCTGTGTGCACGAAGATGAGAGAATGCTCGAGCATGTGGACAGGGAATACTGCAAGTGCAACTA